CCAAGAAATAAAAAATGTGAAGAACCAAATAGAAATTTTAGAGCTAAAAAATACAATGAAATAAAATCAGTGCATGGGCTCAGCAGCAGAATGGAGTGGAGAGAGGGATGGATGAATAAGGGAACTTGAGAATAGAAAAATAGAAATTACCCAATCCTAGCAACCAGGAGAAAATAGACTGAGAAACAGAACACAACCAACCAACCAACCAACCAGACAAAAACGAACAGAGCATCAGGAACTATCTAGATAAGAAAGGAAGAAATACTTACAGATGACGTAATCATCTACATAGAAAGTGTCATAAAATCTACAGCACTGAAACTAGTGAGTTCAGCAAGGTCATAGGATACAAGAGAAACATAAAAAAATTGTGTTTCTCTGTATTCACAATAAACACACGGAAACCAAAATTGAAAACATGATACCATATAGAGTTACTCAAACAGAAAATAAAATCCTTGAGGGTGACTGTAATAAAACATGTATGTAACTGGTATGCTAAAAACGACAAAATCCTAATGAGAGCAATCAAAGTTAAGATCTAAATAAACAGAGACACGTCTTGTTCATGAATTGGAAGCCTCAGCATAGTAAAGATCTCAGTTCTCCCCAAACTGATGTACAGGTTTAACAAAATTCCTATAAAAACCCAGCATGGTTTTTATAAGTGTTAACAAGATTTTTCTAAAGTATATGTGGGAAGGCAAAGGAACTGGAATAACAATTTTGAAGAAGAATAAAGTGGGAAGAATCAGTCTCGACCTCTCGGTACTATGTTTGCAGCTTCCCGTAACTCTTCAATGACATCAAAATAAAAAGTTTTAAACAGGCTACTTTTTGAGTACTTATTATCTGCAAGAAATGTTACTTGAGCTTTTATAAAACCTGTCTAGCTACAGTTTTGCAAATTATAGATATTCTCTACATTTAACAGATGAGATTCAGTAGGCTCACGTTCATTTTTTGTGAACTCAGATGTATCTTTTAGGATCGAAGGAAATAAAGGTTGGTAAATTACTCAAGGTTGTATAACTGGTAAAGAAATGAAACAGAATGTAAACCTAAGTCCGCCTAAATCCAAAGCTCGCATTCTTTCTATTGCTCTGTACTGCCTCTTCTGAAGTATTTGTGTCCTGAAACTGAGCAAAAGTAGGGTGTAATGTCAGAGGTAAGGGGAGTGTTTATTTATAACATATAAATTTATAATTTATTCATTATGTTTATTTAACAGTATTTTGAGTATTATCTGCTAGCTGGATATTCAGTAATACAGAAATGGAGAGTTATGTTGATACAGAAATGAGAGACAGGGCTCCTTCCCTCAGGTTGCTTAGAGTATAGTGGAAGGGACAAATGATTACAGTACATCTCAACTACACACGAGGCTTTCTGGGGGCCCAGAGAGGAGGATCATTTAAGCTCTCCTGGTGCAGTGGCAGGGCAGCAGACGTTTTTTAGTGTGTTCTTGTTGCTGAGAGATGTGCGTCGAGTAGTCAGGCACAGTAGAAGCCATGAACAAAGACAGAAAGGCGCAGAGACAGATAAGTTGAAATTTATCTGTTTGTTTACCTCGTATGCCATAGTTTGTAAAAAGTACTAATAATGAAGTAGTTTAGATAATAAGGGTCGAGGAAGACTTAGTGAAAGCTTGAGATGAGAATAGCAGACATACAGGAAATCACTGCACACGGTTTCCGCACAGGTTGCTAGAGGTGGGCTGCAGATTTTACTTTAAAATTACTAGAGGCACACGAAGAAGGAAATAGCAGTTAAAGAACTGAATGAGCGAATGAAATTGTTGCACTTCTCCATAAAAGTTTGTATTTAAGTCATTGGGATAAGCCGGCACTCGTTTCTTAGATGCCTTCATGCATTCTTCATCACGTATATCCCATCATTTAAGAAGGAAAATCTGTTTGAAAGAACTTCAGACACTTTTGCCCTTCTTTTCATGCAAAATTCAAGTGTGTCAATGATGGTGTAGTATGTGATTACACAAAATTAATCTGTGGCACTCAGTACTTTTGGAGCACTTCCATCATTTACTTGTTTCTAAGGCTTCTGCAGTGGTGAACTCCTTCATAATCAGAATTTGGCAGTATTTGTTGTATTTTCAAAATCTTAACACATGTAAATACCCTGTACATAGATATGTAAATATTCTGATAAAATACAAATGTCATGTTCTGATAAACACCCTCTTTTGCTTTTTTAGAAGACAAATTTAGAAACATACTCATTGTTGTAAAACAGAAACATATTTTCCACGATAAATAAAATTGAATTTTGCGTCTTCTTAATGTGCCTAATACCTCGTTTATCAGCATATATAGAGTAATATCAAGCCCTGTGTCCCAAGCAACAGACAATAAAAAATGAAACTCACTTGATACATAAATGAAAACTTTTTGTGTTAGATGAATATTTCAGTATTTTTTGGAGGTTTGCTATGTTAGTATTATTATCCATGTTAGTATTAAACATATGCTAAATTGCATCTGTGTGTATGCCAAACATATTTTAAAAAAAGTTATAAATATTGTTTACGAAACAAAGGACGTAACTCTGTACATAAATACTATACAGTTAAAAAGTAAGGATTTAATTCATTGCAGTGTTTGATTTATTTGAGTGTCCTTGCTTTTGTGTGTCATCTGGGACTGGAGTTCCCATTGGTTGTCTACCAGGACGTGTGCAAGAGCATGCCCTTGTGTTCGTATCATGGCAAAGAGCACTGCTGGCCCTGCTGGCTGGAGTTGCTGGGTCAGCAGATGTCGATGTACAAGAGGGTTCTCCCACCATGGATCAGAGACCTGTTATCTATTAATGTAATCATCCTTGCCCAGTAACTGCTCTTGTTGGATCCAGTTGCATATTGGGTGAAGGTAGCAAGAGTTAGACTTGACAGCCCACCCCCACCTCTTGTTTATTAGAAAGAAATAGTATACTCCCAAGAGACCTGCCGAGGTAAGGGGTTTTAATTACATGGGAGGGGACTGTAGGAGGCAGATGTCAACAAAGATGTGACGTGGTAGGAGCCTCACAGCTTAAACAATCTTGTGGTTGGTGCCCCCGTGACCCTACATGAACTTTGTTTCCGGCCGGCACATTCTCACGCGCTGGAGCTGCTTTCAGTTTTATTTAGTGCCCTGCCAGCTCCCTTCTACTGCAGTGCTCACTTTTCCTTGTGTCCTGTCTACGTGACACCTATGGGTTTTTGCTTTGGACAACTGGTGCCCCTGTTTTGTTGATGTCCTAAACCCATGCTTTCCTTGCTTATTGGGCAATCCATCCCTGCTTTGATACCCCAGAGGCCATGGCCCCACCCTTTGAGACTGAGGCTGCTCTGCTTCCCATTCTCCTTCCAACAGTTCTGCTGATCTCTGAGCTGCTACAGGCATGGTTCTTTTCTTTTCCTGGAGAACAACAGATGTAGCTCCTTTGGCGTGTATCCTGCCTGTAGAATTCCAGGAGGCTGACAGTGTTCTCTCCTTTCTTTCTTTCTCTGTCCCCTTAAGTCTAAGCTGATGGGTTTTCTGCTTGGGTAGTTGGTAGATCCATCAGTCACGAAGATTTAGCAAAAGATTCTGTAGCCACATGCTTGGTGAACATTCTAGGACACTTGTCCTTAGTTTGTACAACAGAATTTTCCAAATCTTTAAGGTTTGTTATCATTTTGTACAGTTCATTTTTAAGTCCATCTCTTTCCTCTCGCATTTTACTATAAGCGGCAAGGAGAAACCAGGTGGCCCTTTTAAGATCTTGCTTGGAAATCTCAGCTAAATATCCAGATTCATCACTTACAGGTTTACCGCCACCAAACATTTGAAAATATACAAGTTCTTTGCCACTGCATAAAAAGCGTTGCCCTTCTTCCATTGTCCAAGCACGTGTTCATCATTTTCTTTTAAAGCCGCACCAGAAGCACATTTAATGCCCATGTTTCTAACAACTTTCTCTTGCTGGTGCCACATGTATTCTTTAAGACGACAGAGACTTTCTCTTTAGCTCTTCCCACTTCCTTCTGAGCCCTCACCAGAATTGCCTTTGACGTCCATAATTCTACCAACAGGCTCTTTAAAACAGTCTAGGCTTTTACTATTAAAAAAAAAACAGCAAAACAAAACAACCAAACCCATTGCCATCGACTTGATTCTGACTCATAGCAACCCTATAGGACAGAGTAGAACTGCCCTGTAGGGTTTCCAAGGAGCAGCTGGTGGATATGAACTACCAATCTTTTTGGTTAGCAGCCATAGCTCACCAAAGCTCTTAACCACTGTGCCACCGTTATCCAATTCCAAGACCACTTTCACATTGTAGGTATTTCTTAGAGCAGCATCCCCACTTCTCAATATCAAATTCTGTCTTAGTTATCTAGTGCTGCTGTAACAGAAATACCACAAGTGGGTGGGTTTAAAACACAGAAATTTATTTTCCCACAGTTTAGGAGGCTAGAAGTCTAAATTCATGGTGCTGGCTCTAGGGGAAGGCTTTTTTTCTCTGTCTGCTCTGGAGGAAGGTCCTTATCTCTTTGAGCTTCTGCTCCTAAGTGATCTTCATTTGGCATGACATCTCTTTTCCCCCCCGTCTCTGCTTCCTGGTTTGCTTGTTAAATCTTTTCTATCTCAAAGAGATTGACTCAAGATAAACCCTACACTAATCCTGCCTCATTAACACAACAAAGACATCCTGTTCCCAAATAGGATTGTAACCACAGGCATAAACCCCCCCCAAAACAAAACAAAACAAAACAAAACAAAACGAACCTGTTGCCGTCAAGTCAATTCCGACTCATAGCAGCCCTATAGGACAGAGTAGAACTGCCCCCTAGGGTTTCCATGGAGCGGCTGGTGGATTCCAACTGCCAACATTTTGCAGCCAAGCTCTTAACCACTGCACCACTAGGGCTCATAGAGGTTAGGATTTATAACACATATTTTTGGGGGACACAATTCAGTCCATAGCAATGGGTCTATATATTTTTCTCTTTAAAGGCATTTGGATACTTTGGTGACAGACTCGCTTTCCTTCATTTGTTTATGTGTTGATAGTGGGTTGGGAAGGAAAGCTGTGGTCCTCCACATTAGTCAACAAATACTCAATTGATTTGGTATTTGGCTTAGTTAAGTAAGTTACTGATATTTTCAAAAGGACCTTGCTAAAGAGTTAAGAGTGTTTGGTAACAATAATTAGAAATTTAATTCTAAAGAACTCTTTTAACTAATGATATTAATTATTAAAATTAAATAATTTCAAGACTGTTTTCTTTATTGCAGATATAAAACATTTGACCATTTTTCTAATAGTTCAGTTAAAAATCAGTAGTAATTCTTTTTAAAATAAACCATAAATTGTCTTGAAAAATATAGCTATGAAAAAATTTAAATTTTATTTAAAGGTATCTTTTCAAATAGGTAAAACATTCACATGATACAAAATTCAGAAAGTACAAAAAGGTATACCATTGATTCTAGTCACCAGGTTGCCCTCCTCAGAGGGAAGCTAAGGGAAAAAATTTAAAAATATTTTTTAATACTTTATTTTATGTTGTTATTGGAAATATACACAGCAAAATATTCACCAATCTAACAATTTCTACATGTACAATTAATTGACATTGAATACAGTGTTCAAGTTGTGCAACCATTCTCACCCTCATTTTCTGAATTGTTCCTCCCTCATTAACATAAATTCACTGCCCCCTAAGCTTCTTATCTAACCTTTTGAGTTTCTGTTGTCAATTTGATCCCATATAGATAGTTCTTAAAAGAGCATAATGCTCAAGACAGATATTCCTTACTGATTAAGCTAAACTGTGGTTTAAAGAAGACTTCAGGGGATATTTTTGGTTTAAGGTTTAAAGATTATCTCAGGGCAGTAGTTTTGGGGGTTCACCCAGCCTCAATAGCTCCAGAAAGTCTGGATTCCATGAGAATTTGTAATTCTGTTTTGCATTTGCTAAGGAAAAAATTTTAATGTGATTTTTTTTTTCTAATTATGACAGATTGAAGATCTTAAACAGACAAATCATGGCTTGGAAGAATATGTTAGGAAACTCTTGGATAGTAAGGAGGTGGTAAGCAGTCAAGTAGATGATTTAACCAGCCACAATGAGCATCTTTGTAAAGAATTGATTAAAATTGACCAACTAGCAGAGCAACTAGAAAAAGAGAAAAAATTTGTGGTGGATACCGCCGACAAGGAACTTGAAGAAGCAAAGGTATTGTATTTACTACTGGTCAAGATTTTAATTCTACTTTAAAAATCATGTAATTACTAAATGCAATGGAGAAAGTGACATTATTATTTATATCCTTTGAAAGCCTTTTAGATTTGGCAGTATATTTAAATGTCTAAGGATTAAAATATATCGTATTTCATGTTTTAATTTCTTTGAAAATGTTGTTCAAAAAATTTCTTAATATGTAGTGATTATAAAAACTTTAAGCAACAGAAATGTTTTGTATATTTACCTCCCTCCTCAATCTTTTAACACTTTACAGAGATATCTACAAATAGATACATATAGTTCCATCCTTTTTTTCTTGCCTTTTTTCACATTTATAATTTATTTCACTTTTTTTTTTTTTTT